TTCTTCAGTTAATACCATATTAACTATTTGTTCATCAGTAAGAAATTCCTCAGTTGGTATATTTTGATCAATTATTTGAAAATATTCTTGTATTCCTTCTGCATCTGGCAAAGCATTAAGAAGACCAGCAATTTCCTCATTATCTTGCTCTCTTATATCATCATCAACAAATTCATTATCAGACGAAAGTATACCCGTTTTCGTCCAACAATTTTGAATAGTCGTTGGAGTAACATTATTCCAAGCCTCAGCAATATAATCTATTGCTTCTTTAACATTTAACTTATTACTAAATAAATAAATAAATAAATAAACAAAATTAATTTGTTATATTTTATTAAAATAAAAAATAATCATAGATTTTTATAACTTACTTTATATGATTTATCCCAAAATCAAATTTACGAATTAAATCTCTACAAAATTCTTGTTTATACTTTGCTTTAAAGCTATGGATAATACCAGCATCCATAGGTTGCAAATGCGCGGTAGTATTTGGTGGAAGGTAAACAAGTTTAATATTTGTAAGAGTAATATCGGGTATTTTTTTTACTTTTTTTTTTTGTTTTTTTGTTTTTTTTCTTTGATCTCCATAATTAGATCCTTCCTCATCATTAGATTCATTTTCGGTAGTATTATCCTCTTCAAAAATTTTTGGATTAAAATGAGATCCAGCATTGTCAACAAGAAGCAAAATCTTCCTTTCCATTGTTCGAAAATAATAATCTAAATCTTTTATCCATTCAACAAATATATCAGATCTCATCCATGCTTTAGAATTAGCTCGATAAGTAACAGAAAGTGTTGATTTGTTAAGATTTTTAAAACACCGAGGATTAAGAGATTTTCCAATTACAAGAGGACGAAGCTTATGAGAACCTGTTGCATTTGCACAAAAAAGTATAGACATTCGGGTTTTATCCTATAAAATTAATTAAATAAAATTTATTTAAAAAATTTATAACCAATAAAATTTTTTTAAGTTTATTATAATTAAATCTCACCTTCTTACGACCTGCTATAGCTCCTGTACTAAGTGTTTGATTTGGCTCCATCCGAAAAAAAAGACCAGTTTCATCAGCATTGTAAATATCTTCTTTATTATATAATGACAAAAGTGCACGCAAACGTAATCTTTCTTCTGGAAGTGTTGTAAGTGGAGCACTATTTGATTCACCAGAAAAATTATATCTTTGAAGTCCATTTCTTTGTTTAAATCTCCACACCCATCCGTTAGTAAATTTTAATTGATCCTCTCTAATATTCAACATTTGTGCAAGTTCTATTCCTTTTTGTTGTAAAATTAAATCTGTTAGAGGAAGTCCAGCTGCAACTACTTGAGATATCCAAATTTGTAAAATTTTATCAAGTTCAGGAAATTGGGTAGCACGATGACGAAATTTATGTAAATTTTGTGAACTTGACTCAACAACTAGCCATTTTTCGCGCTCTTGCCATATTTTTGTAATAGTTGTTCTATTTATATTTTTACCACTATATTTTTCATTAAAATATGATGCAACAGCACCTTGTTTTACATGAGGATTAGCTGACATATATTCACATATTTCTTTTTTTACATTAATATTGACAGAGGTACGAGTTCTTTTTGATTTATTGAAATTAGTTGGAAACATTATAAAAAAGAGTGTAAAGAGTGTAAAATGTATTTTCGTTAAAAATATTTAATTTTAAAAAGCAAAAAGTTGGAAAGAAAAAAAGAATTTTTTTTAAAAAAAAGATTGATTATAAGATTATCAACCCAAATTAATCTAAAAGAAGATAAAACGCGTATATCATTTTCTCTATTAACCGAAAATAAAAACGCGTATAATATTTTTAGTTATATTATCTATATCTTATCACGTGATAATGTGACTATATAAAGGGAAATTTTATTATATTAACTAATAATATCGGTTGAATAATTGGTGTGATAGTGATTATAATTAATATGTGATTATAAAGAGGGTTTTTATATTTTAAAAAATCAGAACTAAAATATAGTGTGCTTATAAAGAGGGTGTGATTATATAAGGTGTGATTGTAGAGAGGGTTGACTGTATATTGAGAAAAAGTAATAAGTGTATTTCTATTTTTTTAAAAAAAAATGCTATAAACAAACATACCGTGGGTGATCGCCAGCTGAGATCCTGGATGACGATTTTCCGTTTATTAGAATCTTCTTCGTCAGTTTCTGATACCTCTGGACTATGATATTGATTATCAATTTGAATCAGTTGAAGTTCATTAATACGAAACTTTTCAATTAAAGGATTTTTTAAATTCAATAATTTATTGATTGTTTTCGCTTGATGGATTCATTTCTAATAATACAAAAATGATAAAAATTGAATGTTTTATTAATAAAGAACAGCCGATTTTTTACTTATTTCAAAATGTCGCGAATTAGCATGTTTCCTTTTTCTTTCATTATCATTCCAATCAGTACCTCTTTGTTGATTTAGAACATATTCTCTTTTATGATGATGTTGTTCATGAATTATATGCTTGATTACACCATCAACTACTGGAAATGTTTTCTTATTAATTGTCTTTTGTATAACAGAAATTATATGATTGTTAACGATATCCTTTTGATTTTCATAAGTCTTATTAATATCCAGCTGGTATTCTACCAGAAGCCTTTTAACAATCCCAACTATTTCATTCTAATAATAGCAAGAAGAAATTAAGAATATGTATTATAACAATTTATACAAATAAGAAAAATTAATTTACTCTTAATGCATCCCTAAGTTTCTTGTTCATATCTTCATAAAAAAGATATAAATTTGTAGGCGGTGAATATGGACGTGAAGGGGAAGAACCGGGTGAAGATGAATGTGAAAAGGAAGAATCAGGTGAATATGAATGTGAAGAGGTATTTGGATATAAGTGTAGAGTGGAGGATCGATGCTTATTTTGTTCTTGATTAGAATGATTTTTTCTAGATTCAAAACCTTTTTCTTTAATTGGCTGTATTTTTAATTGACGTGAAGGAGTGGTTTTAGGTCTTTTTATGGTTACTATATTATTTACTCTTTTCTGATTTTTTCTATTATCACTTTGTTCAGAATCAAAATCTAGAAGAATTACCGAACCCTTTCTATTAGTATTTGCAGACGTTTTTTCAGATACTATGTTTGCACTTTTCGAAGAACTGGCTCATCCATACACATGTTGAGTTTTGGATAAACCCTTATCTGTGTTTTTTGAAGAACTGGTCTGTTCATAATTATATTGGGGTGTGATGGAATGTTCTCTTATATTTTTGTCATTTTCAAGCGTCATCATAAGCAATTTTTTTATATCATCTATTTGTGCTTGCAAAGTAAATACTAAATTAAAAATTTTTTTATTAAGAAATCAATCAAGAAAACGATTATTAATGTGATATATATAAATAATATATAAATAATAAATATACCTTGATCATTATTTCTTTGTTCTTGAATTATGTCAATTGAATCGGGTATATGCTTCTTTTGATTTGATACTTGGTTATCTTGATATATTTCCTTTGTACTATAAAATCCAATAAATAATAAATTAAAACCATTAGTTGATAACTATACTATTCAAAAAAGATTTACCTTTTCTTATTGTTACTTTTTTGTTTTTTGTAAACAATAAAATCGCGTTTGGTTTTTGTATTTTCGCGTTTTAGTGGTCTTTCTCGTTCATTATCATCTTGTTTATTATTGTCATAAAGAGGGCGTTTGGACTTCTTATTACTGGTCATGTTTATTATTTAAAGTAAATAATTAAGTGTTTATGATATTGAGCTAGACGAGAAAAGATAATAAAGAGTTAAAAATCGTAAAATATGTAAACAATCTCTTTATATATAAATTTAAAGTATAATTCTGACTAATGATGTGATATATGCAAATTTAATCATTAATAGTAAACAGTTAATATAAAGCTTTAATTTTTGAGTTGTTAATTAAATATCTATTAAAACTCATATATATAAACTGTATATTATGTATAAGTATATAATAAATATTAAACAAATTGATATTGTTGTAAATTACTTACTAGCTTTTTCCCAAAGTTTAAAAATGTCAAGACCAAAAAGAAGCCGTATTAATAAAGATCATTCTAATATTACCAAAACTGGTCCTAGAACTAGAGATTTAGTTGAATGTAATTGCATATTACGTTACCACAGTAGTAAATAGGTAGATCCTAGAACATTTGAAAGACATCAGAATGAATATAATGAATATCAGACAATGGCTTCTGAGTCTTATAAATCTTCTCAATCAAAAAAATCCGAAAGTAAATGTATTAATGTGGCATCAACTTCAAAAAAAATATCAAAAGGAAAGGAAAAAGAAAAAGAAATCATACCAGCTAAAGAAAACCAAAATTTAACTTATAGTTCTTCTAGTGATGATGATGATTATACACCGATTGATATACCAAAAAGGAGAAAATAATACTATAAATTTTGTGATACGATTTCTGACCAGAATAATAAAAAAGAACTAAGCCCAATTGAAAAAGATTATAAAGATGTTGAAAATACGGTTGATAGTGAAAACTTTATTGAAACAGAACAAGAAGATGGTTATAATTTAAGCGAAGATGATATTCTATTTGAAGATTTTACTGCTCCTGATTTTAACAACTTTGATGATTTTGACTTTAACTTAAATATGAACATAAGCTTCAATGATACATGGATACTAATATGGATTCTTAAATACCAGTCAAGATTTCGCCTGTCAGACGTAGTCATAGATTCACTAGTTAAATTTTTTAGAATGGTTTTACTGGATATCGATGATATAAGGTTTAAAGATTTTCCAACCAGCTCTTACATGTTAAGAAAACTGTTAGGAATCAGTAAACAAACAAATACATATGTGGTGTATTCAGATTGCAATGCTTTGTATAAAATTTCTGAAATTTTACCATCCGGTCAATCAAAAGATGGATTCAAATATATCTATGTAGAATTCCCTAATCATCTAAGGCAAAATCAAAGATGACCTTGTGAAGCCGAATTAACAAAGTTGATTCTAGCAATAAAAGACAACATCAGAAAGCCAAAAATGATATATCCTTTGCCATCCTTAAAAATGCAATTAACTATGATGTATCAACGTCCAGGATTTGAAGAACTACTACAAAAATGGATAAATCAGATCACTGGAACTGGCCTACTTACAGATATTTATGACGGAGAAGTTTGGAAAACTTTCCGTCATCTATTGATGATATGAATTTCCGATTTTTTACACATGATACTGCTGATTCGAATCTTAGAATCATGCTAAATTTGGACTGGTTTCAACCATTTGAAGCTTCACTTTATAGCACAGATGCTATTTATGGAGTAATATGTAATCTTCCCTGTGAAGTTAGGTTTAAACGAGAAAATATGTTATTTCTTGGACTTTTACCAGGACCAAAAGAAGTAAAACTCCATAGGATTAACCATTATCTTAATCCTATTATTACCGAATTATTAGAGTTCTGGAATGGGATTTATTTACCTCAAACCAATATGTATCCGATAGGAAGGAAAATTCGTATTGCAGTTATTTGTTATTCGAGTGACATCTCGGCTGTAAGGAAACTGTGTGATCATATTTCAGCATTAGTTAGTTGCCACCGGTGCTACAAAGTAGCTAATGAAGGAAAACCCAATTTTAGTGGATTTAATGACATGAACGATTGGTTCATCCAAAAAGACTTAGATGAACATCGACAGAATGCTAAATATTGGAGGTATTGCAAAACGAATGAGGAAAGAAAACGTCATGTTAATACAAAATTTGTTCGATGATCATAAATGCTCTGCTTACCATATTTTAACCCAATAAGCATTTAGTCATCGATTTAATGCATTGTCTTTTTTTGGAAATAGCACGTTGGATAATAAAAAAATTGTAGATTGATGGCGGAAAATTAGGAAAATATGATCTTGAAAAAATGGAAAAATGAGCAAAGGCTATAAAATTACCTACTGATCTAGGCCAGATCCCGTATAAAATCGTAACTGGAAAAGGCTTTTCTGGCTTTACAGCTGACTAGTAAAAATCATTTATAATGATTTATGCCACTCCGATTATGTGGGATCTTTTAGATAGTGATGATCAGAAAATTTTAGCTAACTTTATTAGAGTCTGTTCATTACTTGTATGTCGAACAATTGATAACAATGCATTGGATGAGACTCATTTCCGATTGTTAACTGTAGCCCATCTAATTGAAGAAAATTATGGATAAGAGGCAATAACTCCAAACATTCACCTTTCTCTATACCTTACAGAATGTTGCCAAGATTACGGTCCTCTATACTCTTTTTGATGCTATGCATTTGAGAGGTTGAATGGAGTTTTGGGTAAGATTTTAAAGTAATAAAAACTGAATAAAGAATTATGCTTATATGACAGTTTATTATAGGTTCTCTTCCTAATAGTAGGTGGCAAATTGAACCGGAATTGTTACAAATTATTATGTAAAATTGCCACCTAGATGATTTAATATCCTCCAATTCAGATAATAAAAAACTAGTTGACGCACTATCTATAATTCAACCTCGATCAATAACCAGAAGTTTATCAGAATTTGATTCTTTTAAACTTTACCAGTTCATGCAAGTATTCTGTCAAAATGTTAATGAAACTATTACTAGAAGCGAAAATTTTCCTGGAAAAATGCTTACTCCAAGAAAAAATCAGATATCACTGCCTGACGATATATATGAGCTTCTGGTAAAATAATATAATGATTCGTATGATGAATGGAACTTTGTATTGATTGCTGAGCTAGCTACCAGTAGTGATTTATCATCAAATGAACAAATTGTTATACTGCCAGTTGTAAATCAGTTTGGTCGTATTCAGATTATTACAGAAATATTTGGATCTATACTTGCATCTCGATACTAAAGAAGTTCAAATATCTTAGCCAAATTCATAGATAAAAATGATGCCGTTGATATTTATCTCAGCTGAATGCAATTTTATTTTGAGTACTTAGTTGAGTTTCCAAATGGTACTAAAAAAATACACCAACTAGCTTTTGTCAAGTGGTATATATTTGCACTAAATCAGCAAACAAGGTTTCATTGCAGAATTGGAAATATAGATGATAATAGCTGTAATATTGAATTATGGAAATATGAATTTCATGAATTATCAAGGGATTCTATTATACCGATTCACAACATTTATAGTCATTTTATATCAAGCAAATTTACAGTAGGTACTCGGAATCCAACCACTTATATGGCTGTTATACCAATAAATAGATGATTTCACTTATAAAAATTTATATATCAATAAGTATATTTATAACATACAATCAGTAAATAAATTATAGTACACAATCGGATAATAAATTTACTTTTAGAATATTTAAAATGAATTAATCATCAATCAGTAAATTAATCAGGAATTAACCTGATTGATATCTAATTGAAATATAAACTGAATTTTATCTATTGAACAAATCAGCTAACCAATCAAAAAAAAGTTACAGATCAGGAAGGTACCTGATTGAAATTCGTTCGACCTGTGGAAGCTATGTATAATTTACATATGTATAAGAAATCTTAAAAAGATTAGTAGAGAATTTGAATTCAATATAGATTTATATGTCAGATATTATATTATTGATGCTATTAAAATAGATAAAAACAGAAAATTTATAAATAACAGTATTAATAAATGGACAAAGAATACTAAAAAAATCTTTATACTTCTGAAAAAGTAAATGTCTGAAATTGAGTAATTACTAATTTACATTTTTTTCATAAAAATGAGATTGAAATCAATTTATATATATTTTTTATTTTATCTTTTGTATTATATTACTATTAAAATATATATTATAATTTTTATATAGTATAAATTATGCATTAGGTTATAATAATTTAAGATAAATCTAAAGTTCGCAATAAAATAATATTTTACATAAATTTTGACTTCAAAATATTTTCAAAGTTTTTAATTTGACATTTACATTTTTATACCTGTACGACATATTTTCTTATACATTTAATTTACTCAAAAATTGAGTTGATATTAATTGGTTTTTGCAATATTTTTTTAGTTAAAATCATTCTGAATTTAACAATGGTCACCATTTTCTAGTTGTATTTTATAATAAGATCTTATTACAAACTGATTTGACAACAAAATTTATTATTTAAAAGCTAATTTGGTGATTCCATTCACAAACTAATTTAGCAGTATATCAGCCTAATAATATCTAAAATTTTGATAAAGATTTTCACATACTGAATTTTAAAATATTTCGAATACTTATTTCTTTGATTTAAGTTATTTTCAATTCTGACTTTATTTTCTTTTTTGTTACTATAACTTGTAGATCTACAAAAATATGAGTAATAGTGAAATGAACATTCTCAAGTTATATTTGCCAAAAGAATTATTACTGAAAGATTTGTCACTCAAAGAATTGTTGAAATTGATAAAGAAGAAACAAAAAGTTTCTACAATAACATGCATTGTTATTACTCCATCTAATATAAATGAATTAGACAAAAGAATGATATTGATTTATTAGTAATATTTACTTTCTTATATAGCATTAAATTAGTTTATAAAGAAAAACTTGAGTAGAAACTTAATGAAAATGATATTTTAATCTTCTTAAATATAAAGGTTAACTCCTTTACTAAATTAATTAAAGGATTTTTTATATTATTAATTTTATATAAAAAGTCTTATATTAAAAATAATATAGATGAAGATCTTT